CTCCTCCTCCTCCTCCTCCTCCTCCTCTTCCTCCTCCTCCTCCTCCTTCTCCGTGGCCCTTCAGTTTGCAAGTGTTCCCTAGACGAATGTGGGCGGGACTGCGCAAAATTTACGCAGGAGGCGTCTGTACACCACCACCGTGCCTGGCCAGGGCCACCCTGGGCCCGAGCATGGTGTACACGCCCCCTGGCCGAGGCCAGAAGGTCTGTGCATCGTCGCGGGATCCAGGATGGTCCTGGCCAGGAACGACGGTGGTGTATATACGCCTTCTGCGGACAACTCGGACTGCCTTCTGCCGCGGATATACCAGCGCCGATGCCGAATGTGCGTTGCCCCCCAGGAGATACGACGGTGCAATGCGCTGCCCTTTCCACTGTGTGATCTGGAGCGGGCAGTGCGAGACGTGGCGCAGGTGAGCCTTCGCGAATTCACCGCTCCGGCTTCCTCGCGCCCCCACGAGGCGGGCGAACGACGCCAGGCAACCCGAGCCCGAGATCATGGCATCTCCACTGTTTCGGGCTGGACACTGTCGCTCGGTTTCGGGGCCTGGGACCCTCACATATCGATTTGTGTCTCTTGTTCGCCTGGCGCTCCCCTGATCGAGTTGCCAACCAGATGCCATATGGTCATCGGCCTGACCCCAGGAACGATGAATGAGGAACGACGCCCATTTGTTCCAGGGAGTAACGCATAAGGGACGATAAATAATGAATAACGCATAAGGAACGATCAATAACGGAGGCAAACCTAAGGAACGACCGAGCCCCCTTTGAAAAGTAAGTGTTCCTTATTCAAGCCGCTCACTGTATCACATAAACTGTGAAGTACACAACTGAATAACGAAACGAACTGCAAATGCCATGGAACCTCACTGTCTTCCAGATTGGTGTCGTGCAAACGTTGTCTGATAGTACCAGGGTTTCGGTGCACCCATGTCGTGGCCATACATCGATCAGACTCGAAAAACTGCGCAGGATGGGGTCCAGGGCTCTGGCCGCCACCTATCACGGTGTTGGAAAAAAGTGCTTGGGGACGCCGAGAAACGCCGACACCGCTGCTCCCCCGGCCTCCTGGGGTGCGCTCTGACCCGCATCGCGGGGCGCCTCGGGCGGTGGCGACGGCGGCCTCCCAGGAGGCCCGAAAACGGGGGTGAGCGAGGGAGAGCCGCCTGGCGGCATCGGTCCCAGACCCCCGACGTCATGATTTTTTCATGACGTCGACCCCCCGAGGTCTCGACCCATTCCCCGGGACCGTTTTTTCGTCCTGAGTCGTTTTTTGACGCTCCCGAGGCCCGGTGAGGGCCCCCAGAGGCCGAAAACTGAGGAAAACCGCCCGTCGTGATTTTTTCATAACTCGAGGGGGTCTGGGGTGGGCGCTCCTTCTCTGACCTCCGTCGAGGGAGGTCGGCGCCCGCTCGCCCCAGCTCGCGCGGGCCCCGCCCAAGGCGGCTGCCGTGAGGGCGCGGCGCGCTCGAGAGCGGCTCCGGCGCGGGCGCGGTCGCCCCGGCGGGGTCGCCGATGACGGCAGCGGCTCGGCGCCCCCCCCCCCCCTCCCCCGCCCACCTCTCCCTTGGAAGGGGCCCCAGGACACACAAATAGATGCACACTGGTAAAAGCAGGTTTGGGGTTTTCGTCTTCCCCCCCACTCTTCGCACAGTGTCCCATGCTTTCTGAGGAGTCGACGAGGAATTGTGTCTGTGTGTGTGTTTTTTTTCTCCTGATCCCTGCAGCCGGAGTTGGCTGGAGAGGACACGCGAGAGGGCACGAGACCCTTCCGAGGGCCACACTGCCATAGGAATGCGGCAGGGGTCGCGAAGCACAGGACATGAGGGCACCCTGGATCTGGCGGGGCCGACCTGCCGATCAACCTCGACTGTAGGCCCCCCAGGTGGGGTGAGAGCAGATGGGGTCGGTGGATCTCCCCGCATCGCCGATGCATCAGCAATGCGGCTCGAACGGTGCCCGACGACGCTTCTTCACGCCGACGTCGCCGATGCATCGCCGACATCGGCGATGCGTCGGCGATCCTCCGACCCCATCTACTCGAACCCCATCTGTGAGGCCTCTTCATTCGCTTTCAAAAATGGAAGATCTGAACTATGGCTACGTGGCATTTCCGCAACGTTGGCCGACCCCCAAATCCCACCCCCTTTCCTCAAGATCGGATTTGCATCCTGAACCAGTATGTTGACAGCCCTGGGGCCCTGTGAGGACGCCCGAAGGCCGAAAATAACATAAAGAACAAGCAGCAGCATTTCTTCGACAACGAAAAGAAGAGGTGGGGAAACAACATGAGAGCAGGTGGGGGTGGCAACTCCGCGCGACTGGACAATATGCGCAGATGGAATGACAAGTGTCGCGTGACGCGGAGAAGAGCTTTGGACAGACGTCCACGTCTGAAACGGTCCGCTCCACGGGAGCGCATGCACACCAGAGGACAACGCGGCAGGAGCGACGCTGGGAGAGAGGAGAGGCAAGGCAGTCCAAGATGAGACCGCTGACCCGATGTCCCGAGCATCGGTTGACTGCTCGGACGTGGCCGTTGCGCTTGGAATATTTGCTCACTTCACCGCAACGTCTGAGGCCCCCTCCTGCTCCTCGCCCAACCCTCCTCTTCTGCCCACATCCTTCCCTCCCCGCTCGGCTCGGGCGAAACTGGGGGCACAGGGCGGGTTAGCGAGTCAGCTCACGCAGCTGATTCTCCTGACATGGCGCATGCAGCCGATGCCCTACCCCCACCTCTCTCTGTCCCCCGTTCGTGCGACCCGGAAACCTTCTCTCTTGCCTCCATGCCACTCCCCAAAGCCCCGACGTCGTGACCTTTTCACAACGTAGGCCCCCAGAAGTCTGGACCCCCCCCACTGGGGCCAGCTTTTCACCCCAGGTCGTGTTTTGACAGCCCCCTTAGCTTCGACCGGAAGAGGTGCGCTCTCGACCCGCGAATCAAAAAAAAAAAAAAAAAAAATGTTTTGACAGCCCCGGGGCTCCGTGAGGGCACCCAGAGGCCGAAAAAGGTAAAACATAAAATCCGCCGACCCTGTCGGCGTGTGTGAGGGGCTTCTCCGTTCGAGTCGTCTCCGTCGTCTCCGTTCTCCCCCTCCCAGGGCTCTCCTCCTCAAGCGCGCTATCCAAAGCGAAATTTAACGACGTCGTAGTGGAGTCGAAGGGAAGCCCCTTCCCTTTGATCCTTCCCCGCAGAGGGGGGGGGAGGGGGGGGGGGCCCGGGGCAGATACGACGCCCGCCGGGGCGCACTTTCCTCGAGCGGGCACGCACGGGATGCACTTCCTCCTCCTCCTGGTCCTCCTCCTCCTCCTCCTCCTCCTCCTCGTTTTCCTCCTCCTCCTCCTCCTCCTCCTCCTCCTCCTCCTCCTGCTCCTCTCCTCCTCCTCCTCCTCCTCCTCCTCCTCCCGCAGAGGCGTCCCGGGAGCGGGCCCCGAGTCAAAATACCACCCCCCTAGGGCGCATTTTCCTCGAGCGGGCACGCCCGAGATGCACTTCTTCCTCTTCCGGGAGCACGTCCCAAGTCAGAATATCACACTCCCGGGGCGCACTTTCTTCGAGCGGGCACACAAAGGATGCATCCTCCTTTCCTCCTCCCTCCTCCTCCTCCTCCTCCTCCTCCTCCTCCTCCTCCTCCTCCTCCTCCTCCTCCTCCTCCTCCTCCTCCGGCCTCCTCCTCCTCCTCCTCCTCCTCCTCCTCCTCCTCCTCCTCCGCTTCCTCCCCCCACTCCTAGCCCTTTCGATCAGGGTCGGCGGCACCGGCCGTCAGGCCTCTCCAATAAAAAAAACGCCATGATTTCGTCCACAACGAGAAGAGGTGGGGGAACAACGTGAGAGCAAACGGCAATTTCGACCCCCAATTTTCCGTGGACCGGCACGAACTCCCGGGTCACGAGCCTCCGGCTGCGCGGTCGGCATCGATAGGTCACCGCGAAAAGGAGAAGTCATCTCCCCCCGGCGACATCCCAGAGGTCAGCATTCGTATGTTAATTGCGCGCCGCTGGTCCACCACAAGCCCACCTCGGAGGATACGGGCCTCGTATCGAC